GAAGGTGCTGAGGTCAGTCACTGTATGCCAACTGAAGTGCAGTGGTTGCAGGAGGGCAGTTCTGGTGTGAAAAGGTTAAAAATGCAAAGGAAAGTGATGAGACATTACATGGTTGGTAATCTGAAGAAAAGGGAGCTGGTGGGGAAATGTAAAGAGAAAGCTGACAAGGGGTGAAGAAAAGACCATTAGAAAGTCTTTGGTGGAAGTTAATGAATCAAAACAGAAACAGAGATGTTGCTGGGGCTGAAGTGGATATTAAGCAATACAGAGGGCGGTGATTTGTATTTGTGCCTGAGATTAAGAAATGACAAGGTGTAGAGGAAGTACAGAGGATAATACAGATGCTGCTGGGAACTACTGTGATAATTCCCCTACTGTGGATAACTGGAAAAACCTGGAGCCAGAGCCCTCAGCATTTGTATGCAAAATGAGTGCTGCTTGACTTCAGGGGCTTGACCATTGCCCAGCATAGCCATCTGAGTGCAGAATGGAACAGATTGGTCCATGACAGTAAGAATCCTACTCCCCCAAGCGTGGGCGGTGATTTGGGGATGCTGTGTGGAGACTTAGGGAGTAGCCATGCCTGTGTCCTGTCCGTAGGGTTTCTGTTCTGGTTAGGGCCTGGGAAGTGAACTTCGAGGAGCAAAACATCTGAGGGCGAACTTGACCCTAGATGCATATTCTGTAGTATTTTCTTCTACTCTGCTAGACTTCCACAGAAAACTCATACCTAAGAATCATTTGTATACTTTATTTTTTACTGTGAAATTTTTCTGCCATATTTTACTTGGGAGCATAAGCTGGAAAAGTTTTGGGTACAGCTGAATAGTATGAAAGGCACAATTTATATCTTATCAAAATCAAGAGGTAATTTTGTGGACCAAGTGAAAAGACATATGAGCAAGGTAGGGGCTTTGGTCAGGTGAATTTCAGGGGTTGTGTATGAGTGCAAGTATGACAGCTTCTCACAAAAGACTGTTTTGTGTACTGGAATTCTCACTGAGCTCTACTCTAAAGTGAGCATCTTAAGTACTCGTAATACACTAACACCCAGTAGCACAACTCATACTGGGACCCTGTTGCTCTTGTCACTTGTCATGCAGGGTGAGAAACAAAAGCTTCTTCTGATACATTGCAGACAGCATAGAATAAACAAGTGTGCTTCTGACATGTCCTAGCTGAAAGAGCAAGCCAGTGGGAATTCCAGGGATTTACAGCGCACCTGATTATCTGGGATTTTTTATTTGTCTCTCTTGAGGTTTTAAGCACACCTCTGGACCTTAACATGCATATTTCCCCCAGTCTGCTGCTGGTGCCCTGTTGTACACCTCTACATACGTTAAGAGACAGGCAAGTCACAACAGGCTCAGCCTGCTCCACTTGGCAAGGGCCACTCCATGGTCTATCCAAACAGCTTCCTTCTTCCCGGCAGCCCTTTGCAGGCTGCTTCACGATGTTGGCTTAGTGGCACAAAATCCTTGGGCCTTAAAATGGATACAATTTACTTCTCTTTCTCTCCTCTTTCTCTCCTCTTTCTCTCCTCTTTCTCTCCTCTTTCTCTCCTCTTGCTCTCCTCTTGCTCTTCTCTTGCTCTTCTCTTGCTCTTCTCTTGCTCTTCTCTTGCTCTTCTCTTGCTCTTCTCTTGCTCTTCTCTTGCTCTTCTCTATATTGTAGTCTCATTTATAGAATTCCTTCTTCTCTTTTCTGTTTTCTCTGATTTTCTTTGCTGCATGTCTTTGGGTCTGGACTGCATACTTACACAGGAAAATGCTGGAAGTGGCCACCTGTAAAGAGGTCACAGTAAAATGTGAGGGAACAATGAAGGTGTTTGGACTCCTCTTATACAAAGATCTTTCAAACAAATAGCCTTGAGAATTTTGTTACATTTCAGTCCTGTATGGAGCCCTAAAATAACCCCCATAAAAATATAGCTTCTGCTTTAGTGGCTCTCCCAACACTGATTTTCTTATTAATCTCCCTAGCAATACTTATAAAAATGCTTGACTGTGGTTACGCAGATTGTCTGATGTGATCACTAGCAATTATGCTAATCACAGTCTTCTCACAGTTCTTTCCCATCTGTTTTATCCACCTATGGATATTTAGAGTGATATAAATGATAAGAGAGGCTCTGATCACATCATGCTCTCATTTGCTTGTCAATGTATGACCTAAGATTTTGCATATATAGACTAGGCAGAGGACAAGGAGTGAGAGAAAGGAAGTTACACAGTACTACCATTTTCTGTGGAAGAAGAATAAATAACTTTCCAGGGATGCCTGTGGCAGAGCTGTAGATCTATGGCAGGCCTTTCAAAAACCTTTTCATACAGGTATGAAGCCAGGTAGGCTGGGCATCAGTTAAAGGGGGCATGGGGAGGAAGACAGCCTCTATGCTGTCATTTACTGAAACTGGAGAGAGGAATGCAAGGACAAGGAACAGATTTTGTTTGCCTGACCCTCTGATGTCACTAGCTGTGGAGGATAATAAAGCATTATTTTCTTTGCTGTGTGCCTGAAGAACTGAAGTTTGCCAAGTGCAACTGGGTTAGTGAAGACACACACTATTCAAAATGCCAGCCTCAAAGAGAGAGGTGGAGCAGCTGGCACCTACCCCTGAAAGCAAAGGGACAGGGATCCTTTCTCCTACGGGGAGATCTCAGTGGTCCTCCACACTACACCATTGCTTCTGCAGCCCTGTGACAGTGCTGCCTCTCAGCATCTGGGGAGAGAACAGGATGACCAACAGGGCATGTGGCTGTAATATGTCTAAAATTGTTAATGTCAGGGCAGTAAAGCCTTTCTTTTTGGGGGAAGGAGGCTGAAGATTCTGCAGTGGCATTTTGGCCTAAAGATCCAGACTGGTGAGAGCTGCATCACCATCTGCTGGTATGGGGACTGCAAAGAAGGGGCGCAACAGGACTGGATAAGAAGACAACATATTTTTGGGTGGTAAACTCTCAAAAACTCTTGGCAGCTGAAAAGAGCTCTGTGCTTTCACACCTCAATGCCTCACTAACCTCTGATGCTAAACAACGAACAATGAATGAGATCTCAAAGAAGCACTTGTTTGTAGGATATTGCACTGCTTCAGGAAACTGAAGCAAAGGTTTATGGCATGAATTGCTGTGGTGAAGGGCAGTAACTTGTTTCGAAAGTAATGGCCTGCTCCTTTTCCCCTTCATAAATTTTTCCTATCTTTATGTGGAGACTTAGTGCTTGGGGGAAATGAAGTGTGGCCAGTAAAGCCTGGACAAGGAAACTGCTGGAGTTTCCAGGTGGAGATGGGATCTGCTGCTAAGTGGAATCCTTAGTATGTCAAAAGTGTCTCAAATCCATGAAAAATGCTTTAGAACCTATTTTTCATTACATTTGACTGCATACAAATGATGAACTTCTTGAAACAGGAAATGTATTTTCATTATGTGTATGGACACACCTATTGGACTGGGGCCCCAGCTCTGACCTGAGGGTGTAGATGCTACCTTGATAAATGACAATTACTTTTCTGAAAAACTTGGATTAATCTCGGACACAAAAAAATGCAGCAGCATTCACTTGGAGATCATTTATGGCTGTTGGGGAGAAGATCATGCTTTGCTGGAATATTACCTGTCAGAAAAGGACCCCTAGACCAAGAATCTTTCAGGGCTGGATATGACATTCTGTAAAATCATATCCGTCAGGAGATGCTTTCCTGCAGCAGATCCAGGTCCGTGTCCCATTTCCGGCTAATACAACACACAATGGGACTACAGATTTTGAAGGAAATAAATTCTTTCCAAGCAGTTGTCGAAACTGTTGAGTCTAGGGAAATATATAGAGATGGATGGGATATGTCATTCTTAGAGGGATGAGTTATTTAAAGCCAGTCTGGGGTATGATATTCTTAAAGGAATGAGGTATTTATTAACAGACTTACATATTCCTGTAATGATTCCAGTGAGAACAATGAAAATTGTGGTTGGGTAAACATAAATTTAGAGTTTAAAGTTAACTTGAGCTTGCAATTTTCAAAAGCACTTAATGTTGACTTAACTGTGAGCTCTTCAAAGTTAACGAAGTTTTATGCCTTGTGTGAGTAGAAAGAAAATGACTCTGATAGAGAAAGCTTCTGAAATCATGCTCTAAATTCATAAATATATACTTTCACTATATTTATGATATATCCCTGATAGATGCATATTATTCTAAAGTGGATGCTTTTTTTCAAATGAGTCTGATACTTCCCTTAAGAGTAATGGAATTTGAGGAAAAAAGAAATCTTAAACCTCCTTATGGTAAGGAATATGTCTTCTGCATCATACAAAGAGCTTATTGCACCAAAGCTTTAACATAAATAATTTAAAACTAATAGTTAAATTCATTTGTTAAATGCCTAACTATATGGTTAAGTCATGGCATATCATATATAGTCTCAAAATAGTGTCTGGGTGTTTGCAACAAGCCTTAAGATACTCAGCTGATAGTTAAATCCATAACATATGCCCCACCTGGAAAATATGGCCCTGAAATAGCTGTTTGAAATTAAATTTCCATGTGAAGTCTGCCTATTTTGGGCCTCATCTCCAGCTGGAAGACTAAGATTAATTTCTTTGAGAGTTAACTCTCTTACCCCAGCTGAGTATTGCATCCAAGACTTGTTTTTGTCCTTCTGGTTAGCTGTGATTTTTAGAAAGGCTTGGTTGTGCTTGGTCAGTGAGCACTGGGAAATATGTAAGATACAGAGCAAAATCAAAGTTGCTTTAAGGGGAAACTTGTGAGTGAAATCTTAGTCCTCAGAAAGTCAATTGGAGTTCTGCCACCAATTGACATGGGGTCAGGATTTTATCCCTTAACTTCTCTAATGTCTTTACTTCAGATGACTTGCTGTCTAAGTCTTTATGATACACTAATGCTGGTTTATATGTTCTGAAGATATAGTGCCCGGTAAAATGTAAGATGTAAACCTAGTACAAACCTCTAGTATGTGTTTCTGTTTTGTCTTCTTCAGGCATTAAAGGATGTGTCTTTTTGGCTACTGCTCTGCTGGAGCTGAAACTTTCCCAAAACTCACAGCTAAGCAGTTCAGTGTGTGTTGCATGGGACAGCTACAGAATTCCAATTACTGCAATGGTGAGTAGCACTGAGACATGTAATCCTCAAATTTAAGTCATTAAAGAAGCTGTAAATGCACCCGGGAGCATTCAGAACATAAAACAAACACATTTAAATATAAATATAGAAAAAGACCTTCAGGCCACAATACTGTCTGTCAGAGGCACTCTCTGTCAGAGGTATTATTTGGTATTTGTTTAGTGTATCAGAATGATTTGCAAAATGAGAATTACAGCCCTGTTTCATTAGTCATTATAAAGTGCTTGCAGACAGACTCTCAGAAATCTAAGATATGTATGCTAAGAAAGCTGCTGCTGAAAGCACGACAGAGGAGGGACAGAAGCATTCAGGGCAGTTCTCACATGTGTATGTCTTTGTCTTATACACTACTCAAGCAAAGATCAGACATCCTGATTTATCCTTTAACCTGCTCATCAACCAGCTAATTTTCTGCAGTGTCTGTAGCAGAAATAAGTCTTGAGAAGGGATTTGGGGGAAGATTTAAAGACGGATTTGAAACATTTGGCAACTGATTGGTCAAATTTTCCATTACTGACAGTTGACCTGTGACTTCTAACTCCTTGTGCTGACAAGAGGTTCAGATTAGAATTTTTATTTTTTTTTTACCAGAGGCATTACTATGGTTTTGAATGTTATATAGATATGTGTTATACAGTGTAACTTGATATTTATGCTGGTCAGCAGTAGTCTGTGGATATGAATTTAAATTAGATTATTAGATGTTGGATATGCCACTAAATCCCCACAGTGAGGCAAGAGCTCTGTGAACACTGCATGTAGCTGTACAGATACTTGAGTTTAGCTGAGTAATTAGTGATATTTTAATCTCTTATTATTATTTTATTATATATTATATATTATTTTATCTCTTCTGTGAAAATTGTAACATTAGCAATATATCATGTGTCTTTGTTACTATCACCACAGCATTTTTTAAAGAAAAATACAGATTCTTTTCCTGATAGCAGCTTCTCAACTAAAAATCAGGTACCTTGAAGTTATGAGCTATGTAGTGCTATTGCTTGTGTCGCAGTTTTAGCCTGGATTCTTTGCAGTATTCTTTCTGTGTGAGACAAATAGAGAGAAAAATTACTAAGTTTGTTTAGAAAGCCTTGTAAGCATTTCCCCTCTTGTAGGGTATGCTTTTCTTTTGCAGTGTTTCCTTTTATTTACTGAATTTGTGTCCTGTGTGATGAGTTGACAGCAGTTAGATTCTTCAATTGTGCTTTATTTTAAGATTTTTCACTTGCAGCCAGTGAAAGCTGAATTGAACACCTTAAAATTCTAAATGCATCGTTTTTATTATCGTGGTTATGGTTTAAGCTGTTTTGTTTTAAATGGCAAAGCCTTGCCTAGAAAGATGTTGCTGATCTTTCAAAACTCGTGTAGTGATGCCAAGTATAAGGACCAACTTGTGGCCAGTAAATACAGCAATTTCTCCCAGAAATTCTCAGTATTAGGTGCAGAGATATTTACTCTTGTATGTGGCTGAAGATGCAAAATTAGTCACATACCCAGAAGCCACATTATGCCTTCAAACTGTAACCAGATAAGGGACCCAACACATCATCTGCCTTCTAGACATGTTTCCCCTCTGTTTCCAAACTCACCTTACTCAAAGGAAAACTTTATGGAAGAGGAACCTAATCACAAGCTTCATTATATGCTTTGCCATAGCAGGCAAGTGAATAAGCAGGGTTCAGAATGGGTTTTTTCGGCTGAAAACCGTATGTGCTGATTGCAACTTTGTTAAATACATAAATAACTGGAGCCCTTCCAATCAGAGCTAGCCAAACCTTTTAATCATATACAGAAGTGTTCCTCGTGACATAATTATGCTATCCAGCCTCATTCCCTCATTGGGAAATATTCTGTCAAACAGTAAAATAATTAACATGGATTTTAAAATCGGCATTGACATTCTAATGTCTAATTAGGTAATTGTCATTGGCACAGCAATACCTATTAGGAGCATGCAATTTGTGGAAGGGGTTTTGATGGAACAGACTGCAGGTGCAGATGGTCTAACAGCAGGACTCTTACCCGATGTAAACAAAGGTATTTTAATTAGCCATGTGACCCTGATCATTGTTAAAAGGTAAGGGCTGCGCATTCATCTTCCCACCAGCTACTTCCTGGTCCTTTCAAGGGGAATGTTGAAATATCTTGACCTGTGGTAAATTACGCACAGACTTGATTGAAATTCTCTTCGAATCTAATTATTGTTTCATTTGGCTTCTGGCAACTTTAGCGCTATATTGCAGTTGGCTCAGAAGTCTTACCTACTTGCTGGGCTATTTTTGGTTTGTAGATCTCAATTGCTAACCTACACAAAGATACCAACTTTTGCTTGGTATACTAGGGAAGACTTCCAAGATGTTGGAGTTTAGTTTTCAGCTAGTGTATGCTGGAACTACTTAAAAATGTGCAGAAGACCTGAATTTTATAAAATTATAAAAATCCCTTGCTCGTGAGTCTGCATGTAATTCAGCACAGATCTTAGCTAAATGAAAATTAATTGGGAAAACAGGAATGACCACACAGCCTCGGCAGCAATGAATAACCTTGAAGCTAGGAACACAAGAGACCTGATGAGCTCCCCATTCTCTTTTCATCAGCTGTGGGAGAAGCTCTGCATATGTTAAGTGTTCCAGAGCAGAGGTTGCACCTGGTATCTGGAGTATCTGGAGGAAAACTTCACGGAAACTTTGTGCATTTCAGTTTTCTTATTACTGCAAGGCAAACAAAAAAAAAAAAAAGGAAAAGCACCTTTTTTTTTTTTCCCTCTGGAGACCTTTATTTTGCCTAAATTATATTATAATTCTTAATTTTAGAGTATATTTTGCTAATACAGTTTGGCCTTAATAATGTTCAGTTTTTTAGCACTTAATCACATAAAACAGTCACGTGTTCTTCACTGCAGTGATGTAGTGCTAGTAATGAATTGGAATTGCTCTTATGAGCAAAAAAAATTGAGTATTTGTAGAATTGGGGCCTTTAGTTGTACAGTGCAGGGTCTATCTCTGTGGTTTATTTTCTGCAGTGTTTCACTCAATGAATTGCAGATTACTGATCTGCAGCTGATATTGAAATACACTGAAAAGAATATATTTATATATCTTCCCTTTTTCTCTGTTTTTTGGAATCTGTTGGTGCAGTGACAAAGCACAAGCTCTGACTGACAATAAACATTGGCTATTTAATAAACATTTCATAAAAATTTGCTAGGATGAGTCTGGGCCATTCTGAGAACTGGTTTAAAGTATGTGTATTGTTTTTTAGGTTTTACAAAAATATAAACTGTAAGTATTTTGATTATAAATAATTATATTACCTAATTTTTTCAAATTCTCAAGCAGCTGAGATGCATGGGAACCCAGCAAATACACTTTTTTTGAAGACAGCTGCAGTGGCTGTTCAGGCATATGATTTCTTTAGCATATGAGAATCCAAACAAATTTTTTTCCCAGTTATTTGATTTGCTGCTGTTTTTCCAGTGCGAGGATCTCTGAGGTGCTGAAGCATCTTTGGTTATTTCATGTGGGACTTTTTCCTTCTATGGCTTTATAAATGATGCTAGACAGAATCTTTAATGAAATATGTGATGGCCTTTTGACTTTGTGTTCAGATTCCTCTAGAGCTATAAAATGAAGACTCTTGTACACCTGACACAGGTGATAAGTGCAATAGTTTTAGGGGTTTTTTTAAAGCTATTCAATCCAAGCACAGAAACATTTATTTTAGCAATGGTGAAATATAAACTTTTATTGTCAGGCTAAATAACTTTGGGAAAAACCTTTCATCTTGTGAATTGCATGGGATATGTCACTGCTTTCCAATCAATGTGAGTGTTTTTCCACTTCTCTCAAGCAAGTGCCATGGAGACCTTATTGTTTGAGTGTGAAATAATGTTTGCTAATGCGTTCAACCACCATGATAATCCTCAGGTGACATGATGACCGTCTGTGCTTAAAAATAAATAAATAAAAGCTAGAACGAATACAAATGATAAACACACATTATATCTCGCCTACTGGTGCTGGGGTTTAATTATGGGGAACAATTACCTACCATCGTCAAAGGATTCGCACATTAATAACATTATATAGGGATAATGTCTTTCTAAGCTGCTATAGCATTTAAAAGCTGGTACTTATGTTGCAATCCAGATTCCGTCTACCCGTCAGTCCTGTCTGGATTATTGCTACATTATGTAATGTGGTCTCTTGTGGTTTTTTTACTGTGTAATTAACATGTGGGTCTGACTTATCCAGTCCACTCTAATAAACCATCCTTAATGAGTGAAATAATAATAATGATAATAATAAATCCTACATGATTTCTGAGCTTCCCGGTTACTCTTGCTAAGACATTTGTATTTAAGCAACATGAAAGCTCAATTAAATATATATGTATCTAATTCTGTTCATGTGCAGTAGTCTTCTGAGAACTTTTCTCTGGTTTTATCCAGGAAAAAACTAACTGCATTGGAAGGGCAAAGTAAATTGACAAACTTTCTAACTCTGCATTCTCTGCTGCTCCTTAGTCCTGCACTTTCACAGAGGAGAGATACACTAAAACCCGTCAAAACTTAATCTCTTGCATATCCTTCTTAAATATTGTGTTTTGTGCTCTTCCCACTGTAAAATCTGTTACTGATCTCTCCTAGGAATGAGTGAAGGATTTGTGACAATATTACAAAAGCACAGGTAATTAGAAAATCACAGAAATACTGCTGGTTTCATTTTTATTTTTTTAACTTTTGCTAAAGGCACTGCTTTTTGTGTCATTTTTAGCACACTCATTGAATGAGTGGAGTTTATTTTAGAAGCAATATGACTTCAGTGGGTGTCAATTTTCAGCAGAGGAAGACAAATCAGTGGCTTGAGTTAATGATAGTTGTTAATTTTCAAAAGTTTTTGGGGAAAATAAGAGCCATAACTTACTCATAAAGAAATTATTCCTAAGAGTTGACCATTTTCTTTTGCGCTGTAACT